TTAAACATGTAGTTATGAAGATTCCAAAATTGACAGAAACAGAGAGTTGCCCTTTTTCAAGACTTATTGGAGGATTTGTTCCTCCTTTAACTGATGTATCTTCTATAGATGATTCTTCATTCATTGACTCTGAAGAATCTTTATCTTCTCCAGGTGAAGCTCCAGGCTCGGTAATAAGACCAGGCCTACAACCAAAAGTACCAGGAGCATCAGACTCAACAGAAATACCCGGAGAATCAGGAAAACCTACAATGCCAGGAACATCAGACTCAACGGAAATACCCGGAGAACCAGGAAAACCTACAATGCCAGGAACATCAGACTCAACAGAAATACCCGGAGAATCAGGAAAACCTGCAATGCCTGGAACATCAGACTCAACAGAAATACCCGGAGAATCAGGGAAACCTGCAATTCCTGGAACATCAGACTCAACAGAAATACCCGGAGAATCAGGAAAACCTGCAATTCCTGGAACATCTGAATCAACAGAAATACCCGGAGAATCAGGAAAACCTGCAATTACTGGAACATCCGACTCAACAAAAATACCTGCAACGCCTGGAACACCTGAAGAACTTGAAACTGGTGCCTTTCCGGTCCCACCCAAAATTGGCACAGAAATATCCCCAATACCATCGCCTGTACCTCCAAAAACATACACAAATTTAAATATAGATGAAAAATACATTCATCCAACGGCCCCAGAAACTCCAGAAGTGACTGATGATAATACAGGGAACCTGAAAAAGGATCAAACTCATGAATACACACAACAAGAAAGTGATGATGATCTAAGTGATGTCCAAAGTGAAGATGAACAAAGTCATTTAAAAACCACTCAAAAACAAACTTATAGGTTAACTACTACCCAAATACAAAATTTAATGATATTACAGACACAAATTAGAATTAATGATATTCTAAAGGAAAATGGATTGGATAATCTGAATTTAATTAATTGCGATTTAAATACTGTTAATAGAATCTATGAATTAATCAAAAAAGCTGAACAAATTATATCAGAGATCCAAATTAGAAAAAGCAGTATTGACCAAATTGATTTAAATAGTTTCATTACTTCTCATTCCGTTATTAAAAAAAATACTGAAACTACTAATTACCAAACACTTATCAGTTCTTTAAATGTATTAAAAGATTACCTAAAACAAATACTTGATGATTGTAAAAGCCTTTATAATATTCAACCAAGTACAGAAATTCATTCAAAATATTATTCTTCTATAATTGATGAATGTGAAAATGAAAAATATATTCCTTTAATTGATTTATATTCATTTTTCCTCAAATATTATAAAAGACTTATGGTAAACTCAACTTTTGGAGCAAGAATGCTTAACCATTTTCTAACTATCTTAATAAATCTTAATGAAATTAAACAATGTTTAGATGAACAAAAAATAAATAGCTGGAAATTATTAAAAGAAGAATATCAAAACAATCTTAAAGAAGAAACTAAAAAAGCTACTGAAATTCAATTGAATGGTTATTCTGATCATGTAGCTGGATCTTCAATAAATCAATCTATTAATAATTCTGAAATTCATCTAATCAATGAAAAGATTAAAGTTTATAAAATTATAATCAGACTTTTAAATGAATTAATTTTAAAATGTCAAGAACTTAAAAATAATCCAGATTTAGAAACAAATTCAAAAATACATGTATTTAATGAAAATTGTATTTATAAATACAATATTAAAGAATCCATGATTCGATTTAAACTATTTAATGGTTTAAATATGAGTCAAAGAGATGAAATATTAGAAAGAATTCAACGATTAATACAAAGCCTTGGTGGATTTATATCTATTTATGATTCTAAAGATTGCAATCCAAATAATATTGTTAAAATATTAGAATCTATCGCCAGATTGAAAACAATTAAAGATATAGAAAAAAATAATACAAATTTATATGAAAATTTAAAAGAAAACAAAATTTTAAACCTCAACTTAAGATCAATAAAATTTTTAATCAAATTAATGATAGATATGATTTCTTTCTGTTGGACTTATGGTATTTATAAAAAAAATGATTATATACAAAGATCTGATACAAAATTAATTGATATATTTAAGTTATTAAAAAGTAAATATGAACAAAATAGTCAAATTAAAACTAATTATAAAGCATTGGGTGAACTTCAAGCCTTATTGAATGATAAATATATATATTCAA